CCGACCAGGTGGGGCGACGCGCGGAGGGCGGGGTACCCGTGGGCCGGGAGCAGCTCGCCGTGCGTGTACACGTTGATGTGGACGCCGTGCTCGGCCTTGTACGCTGCACACGCTTCCAAGACATCGTGGAGCATCTTGAGGTCGTGGCCAGACACCAGGATGCACTTGCCAGGGCGAGGAAGCGACGTTGCGATGCCAGGCGACTGGGCGCCGTACGTGCAGTTGCTTTCGTGGAGGAGAGCGAGCGCGGTCAAGTTGACTTGGCCACAACGCATGAGCATCTCGACGACCTTGTCGATTTTGCCGGCGTCGGGGGACCACAGGAACGCAAACGCTTCGTGGATGAAGTGGTAAATCTCGGGCTTTTCGTTGCCAAACTGGAGCGAGTGGTCCGTGTATGCGGCGAGGCCCTTGAGACCGTACACGAGCATTTCTTGGAGCCCGACGAGGGCGTCGTTGCGGCCAGCACGCAGACGCGAGAGCACGCCGACCTTCTTTCCGCTCGCGACGAGCTCTTCAATGTCGACCACGTTGGCCTCGGTGCGCTTCCACGGGACCGGGCTCGGCGCGACGCCCTTGGCCTGGCACACGGCCGCATACTCTTGGGTCAGCTGATCGGTGTATCCCTTGGTCTGTTGGATGAACGTCACGAACCGAGTCGCGTCAAAGTTGACGTTCGTCAGCGTCGAGAAGAGCGCCACAAGCGTGAAGCGGTCGATCTCTGCCAGCGACGCCACGTCCGGATCGACCGCGCGGATGTGATGGGCGTACCAGCTCAGGTGCTTGAGGTGGTCGACGAGGAGATCCTGGAGCGCCGCGACGGTCGGCGTTTTCCCGCACACACCGATCTTGGTGCACCCGATGCCTTGGTTCGTCTGGCCGCACTGAAAGCAAAACATGGCGCAGTCGCCGACAACGTCACTGATCGGCGTGTCTTCCTTCTTCGTTTGGACCTTTTGCTGGTGCTGCAGGGCGTTTTCATGGTCCAAGCACGACGAGAACGCTTCGACCTGCCATCGTCCGGTCAATTTCATTTCGTCGACCGTCTCCATCTCGGCGGCAAGGGTCGACTTGTGCACTGTTTGGAGCGCGGTTTCGATCGCCGCCTCGTGGAAGTATGGGATCGTTCCGCCGATCCCGCAGTAAAAGTACACGCCGTCGTTGTCCAGGTATTGCGCCACCTCGTTCGGGAAGTCGCGGATCTTGGTCACAGGCGTGACGAAGTCCTTGCTATCGTGCGAACAGGCCGGAACTAACTCGAGGAGCCCTCGATTTACGTACGCGGTGAGCTCGTCCTGGAAAAGGAAGTCCTTGGCGGCATGGCGGATACCAAAGTAGAGACGCATCTTGCTCACGGTCTGGTTGTGATCGTGGTGGTACGCGCGATGTTGCAGCAGCGCGCGGAAGAACGAGATGCCCGTGCCGAGGGCCACCCCGAGGATCGGCGTCTCGAGCGACGTGGGCAGCCGGAAGTACCCGCGGCTGAGCAACGACGTCACGACATCGCCGGGAGCGAGACGGGACATGTAGCCGGCAGCGGCGCCCATGAACACCTTGTTCGGGTCGTTGCTGCAGCGCCACGTGTCGACCATGTACACAATTTGGACGTGGTGCGGGAGCTGCAGCGGGCTCGAGCACACCGAGTAGTACCGCGGTCGGATCAGCGAGATGTTGCCGAGGATGTGATGTAGCCCCACTTGGATCGACGGATGCAGCTCGAGGACGTCGACGAGTGTGAATGGCGTGCGAAACACCGTATTCCCGCCGACGTACTTGGAGTAGAGGTTCCCAATCGTCATGTCTTCGGCGAGCTGTTCGAGCGCGAGCGCTTCGTCTGGGTCAGTGCACAAAGCGGACAGGCCTTCCAGGAACGACCGCGACGGCGGCGACGACAGGTCCAAGTAGTCGCGCAGCAAGTCGACCAATTTGATGGGGGTGTCTACTGGCAAGTACCCGCTGTGGCCAAACGGCTTGAGCTGGATAGTGGTGTTCAAGTCGAGTCCCAAGCGCGTGGCGGCGCGGTTTACGAGCTCCATCGAGTTGTTGTATGACACTTGGATGTGGTCACCGAGTTGGTAGGTCGTGTCGGGCGGCAACTCCAACGTCAGTAGGTACGTCGGTCGTTCGTACCCTGAGGGAGTGAGCAATGCATTGGAGACGACGCGGAATCCGTTGAATCCAGGAATGGTGCGCACGACGCTGACGGCGTCGACGGCAGGGGCCGAGATCTGAAACTGAATGGGCAGGGTCATCTTGCCGTGCCCGCCGAGAAGTTTCATCCAAAGGTGCTGGATCCAAGGCCGGAACGAGGTTTCGTGTCCACAGAGCGCTTGTTCATCGCCAAGTCCTAGGGGAATCAAGCGCGATGCACCCAATTGCTCGAGGCGGGCATCCAACAGCTTTGCAGCGACGTTGAAGTTGACCTTGTTGTGTGAGTTCCCGAGACCGAAGACGGCGAATTTCGTGGAGGGAAGCGATGTTGTCGTCGCCTTGAGATAATCCCACGTGCGAGAAATGTTGCTGGGGAACTCGCCGTTGTAGAATGTGGAAGTGAGGAAGATCACAACGCCTTCATGGACGAGCTGTGTCGGGTTGAAGTCGTCGGCGACGAGGAGCCGCGGCGACAGTCCACGTGCCGTCGCGAACGAGTGCACGATCTTCGCAAACGCCTCGGTGGTGCCGGTCTGGGACCCGTACAAGATCAGCATGTTGATGTCGACGAATGCGGGAAAATGACGGAATGGCGCGCGACACAAATTCGTCGTTGGCACTATTTGGTCACTATTTCCGAGCGTATCTTTGTCGATGAGTGCAGCACACAAAGCACCACGAATTCCGCCGCCGTAATTCGAGCCAATTTTATTGCCATCGAATCAATTTGATCTTCTAAATTGTATAGGAATTGCCGTCGAATGGATTCTTCAATTTTATTTTCTCCACAGACGGCCACTACATCGGCGCTAGATCCACGCGTTTTTATGCTTGCCGACATCGTGGCGCTCTCGCTGTGGAAGACGCGCATCGCATGGACACGGCTCGAATCTCCTCGGTACCTACCTCCGGCCACACACAGCACTGCGCCCGCCGTGACAAAGTACCGGTGCAGCTGGAGGATGTTCCTCCTCTTGTGTCTAGCATTTGTCGACGGGGCAACGAAGAAAGCAGCATGTCCCACGAGAATAACACCGAAGCCCCACCCACTCTAACTTCCATGTGACGGTACAGTGTACATGAGCACCTGGGTTACATCGAGATGCGCCACAACACGCCCGATTCGTTGCTTGTGGGTTGAACGACGCGACCATATGCCGGTGCAAGTCCCTTGTCTCCGCGAAACACGGTCATGTCCACACGGTTTGTCATGGGTGTGGACACGGCACAGGTAACCTGGCACCGCTCAACAGTGGCTGACAGGCTGGTCCTTTCCGTGGTGTGCGATGTGCCCTACAGTGTATCGCACCAAGCACCGATTACCTAGACACTGTCATCACCACGCAGAGAGCGCAGCGTGCTCGAAGGCGGCGGCCGGTGCGAGGCTCCTTTGGCGGTGGCCTTGGTATGTCGATCGCAGGCAAGCGCCCAGAAATCCCGAAAATGTTGTGTGCTCAACGCGTACGATTTGTCGTGAAAGTCGACTGAAGATAATAAACACGCCACTTCGGACGAGTTACGTTTTATTCTTCAAAGCCTAGGCTATCTGAGTTGTACAGCTGCTCGATGTCGACGTTATGTCAACCTCGCCTGCGTTTTTTCAATGGTAAAAACGTAAAACGCATTCAAGAAGAACCGACATATAATGAAATTGCTTCAAACATTGAGAAATCCGCATACAGGCCAAAATATACCTGGTCCCAACTACTACCTCCATCCAGAAATAAATGCTCCAATCAAACTATTTGCGAATTGAAGACCAAATTTTTTGAAGTTTTCAAATCCAAAACCATCCGGTTGACGAGCAAGAGGTGATAAA